AAGTGTGCATGCTGTCAGTTTGAAAGTAAGATAAACAAGAAAAGGTTGNCAAGTCTGTCCAGATCCTTCTGTATCTTAAGCCTGTCTTCTGGAGTGTTGGCTATTCCTGCCAGCTTGGTGTCGTCTGCAAATTTGATGAGTTCCCCATCTATCCCCTCGTCCAAATCGTTGATGAAGATGTTGAAGAGCACTGGGCCCAGAACAGAGCCCTGGGGCACCCCACTACACACTTTCCTCCATGTAGATGCAGTTCCATTGAGGACCACACGCTGAGTATGGCTGGTCAGCCAGCTACGGATCCATCTGGTGGTGATGCTGTCTAACCCACATTTTTCTATCTTGTCAAGTAGTAGGTTGTGATCTACTTTATCAAATGCCTTTCTGAAGTCCAAGTAAATTATATCCACAGCATTCCTCTGATCCACTAATTTTGTCACTTGGTCAAAGAATCCAATAAGATTTATCTGGCATGATCTGTTTTTGACAAACCCATGTTGGCTTTTAGTAATGACTTTGTTTGCCTCTAGGTGTTCGCTGATTCGTTGTTTGATTATCTTTTCCAGAATCTTCCCAGGTATTGAGGTCAGGCTGATAGGTCTGTAATTTCCTGGGTCCATTTTTTTTCCTTTTTTGAAGATGGGAACTACATTAGCTCTTTTCCAGTCCTCCGGTAGTTCCCCAGTGCTCCAGAATCTTTGAAAAATATAGTTCAGTGGTTCTGAGATCACATCTGCCAGTTCCTTGAGAACCTTGGGGTGTAATCCATCTGGTCCTGGCGATTTGAACTCATCTAGGCTGGACAGGTGCTCACTTACCATTTTCTTGCCTATCTTAACTTGTGTTTCTATTCTGTTTTTTATGGCACTATTTTTGATAGGTTGGTCTGTTTTTTCTCTTTGTGTAAAGACAGATGCAAAAAACGAGTTAAATAGTTCTGCTTTCTCCCTGTTACTTGTCACCTTCTTGCCACTTTCACCCACTAATGGACCAATCATTTCCTTCACTTTTTTCTTGTTTTTTACATGTTGAAAGAAGCTTCTTTTGTTATTTTTGACTTTGGTCGCAAGCCTTAGTTCATTTTGAGCCTTAGCTTTCCTCACTTCATCTTTGCAGGCTCGGGCTATTTGCTGATATTCTGACTTAGTTATGTGCCCCTCTTTCCACTTTCTATACTTGTCCTTTTTATCTTTCAATTTGTCAGAGAGGTCTTTATGCAGCCATGCTGGTTTCTTTTGAGAGCTGTTATTTTTCCTCTTTGTTGGTATTGTGCTAGACTGGGCTTTTATTATCTAATTTTTCAAAATTTCCCAAGCTTCTTGTGTTGTTTTCCCCTTGAGGATTCTCATCCATGGAATCCTTCCCAAGCCCTGTCTAAGTTTATTGAAATTAGCTCTCTTGAAGTCCAAGACTCTAGTTTGACTGTGTTCTATTGCTTGTGCTTCCATAATGTTGAATTCCAATATTGCATGATCACTTCCTCCCAAGATTCCTATGGCTTCAACACCTTCTATCATTTCATCTCTGTTAGTGAGAATTAGATCCAAAATGGCTAATCCCCTAGTTCCCTTCTCTACTTTTTGGGAGACAAAGTTGCCTGCTAGGTTTGCCAGGAACCTGTTTGATCTTCCACTTGTGCAGAGTTTGTCTCCCAGTTGATGTCAGGGTAGTTAAAGTCCCCCATCACTATTGTGATGTGCTTCCTACATACCTTAGCTGATTAGCAAAAAGTTCATCTATTTCCTGTGTTTGGTTGGGTGGCCTATAGTATACACCTATGGCAATGTCGTTTCCCCCCCCCCCCTTTTATATTGACCCATATGCATTCAGGACAGTTTTCATCATTGCTGTGCTCTATTTCTGTAGAGATGTAGTTATTTCTTATATAGAG